CAAAAATAGTTATCAAATGGTACACTTCCCAAACAAAAGGTCTGATGAATTTGTACAGACCTGTATCTAATTACTCAATAGTATACCTCCCAAACGAAATGTCTAATGACCTCATACAAAGCCTAGGTATAATTATTTACCAGAATGGACAGCCGGAACTAAAACTTCTAATTACTTTATATAAAAATTGAAGTCTAATGGTTTTACACAAAGACTTACTTGGTTACAAATCATAACTCAGTGAAACTAGTTGAATTTAGATTGTTGATGACACTGACTTACCTGGCAGCAGACTGAAGGACAAATAGAGTTTGGGCCCAAGGAGCCCAGGAAGTTCACTCGTTGGTTTTTGGGAAAAATGAAGTTCAGGGATTGGCATACTTTCCTAGACATGCTGGGCTGACATTGTCTATAAAAGCATATTTATTTGTTGATTGGCGGGCATTCTGAAATGAGTCCGTTTTTGGTTAACTGACCCTCAGAAGCGAGGGGCTATCACTGGTTGGTTGGTTTGTAAAAATGTATTAATTGAGGTGAGCTGTCATTGATTAAACCATTGGATTTAAAACTGGTTCTGGGTACCATGATTATAGAACAATCACACTTTTCCCAAGAATGTGCTAATTTTTAATATTCCCACAGTTGGTATCTATTACTTGTTTTCACTAGAACATAGTGCAAATTGATATCTGATATAACACAAAATAACATATTTATTTACATTTGTAGAGCAAAGTTTTGTGGTGTTTTATACAGAGCGAGGTGAACTAATAAGTGTTTCACTGTGACCCAGTTTGGGAACCATTAGGTTTAACCTCTAGGTTAGGGTATTTTCTAAGAGGCAAAAGCATTAGTTAGATAAACTTAATCAGGAAATCGTTTGGTGTTGGAATTAAATGTATTACTTTTAATAGTCATCCAGCAAGAAGGAAAATATTTGTCAACATGCTAAGGAAAAGAACAAAGAGGCATTAGAAACAGAGGAGAAGGGGTGGATTCTAGAGAAACAGGCTGGAATGGGAAATATATGTCCTAATTGGTGGTTATACTAAACAGAATACTAGCATCTTATGCTTGGATAGGACTTTAGAGGTCATAAGACTAAGATCCCTCCAAGTTCAGAAATTTCCTCTCCAGTTTATACCATCCCTAGCAGATGATTTCCAACTTCTGCTTTTAGTAATGGGGGAGCTTACTATACATCACGAGGCAACTCATGTTTTGAAATACTCTGACTTTTTAATGACCTAAGATCTGTTTCTTGTATATCTTGTACAACTAGGACTTGCTAGTCCTAGTTCTGCACTTTCAAGCCACATAACATAAGTTTATTTTATTGTACTTTATTGGAGCAGTATGGCAGCCCTTCAAATATTTGGGTAGGCAGTTCATTATGTGACACTACTGTATCTTGTCTGCTCTAGTGATCCATGTGATTGTTCTGTATATGACACTGTTTCTGGACTTTTATCTGCCTGTCACTCTAAGCAGGTTTATCTTAAATTATAACAACAACAACAACAACAACAACAACTATAATTGACTGAAAGCTTACTATAGTTGATCCTTGAACAACACAGGTTTGAACTGTACCGGTCTACTTATGTGAGAATTTTTTCAAGAAATACTTGTACCCATTTCAATCCATGGAAATACTCGTGCTGCTTGGGAGTCTGTGGATTCTGGTAGCCTACTGTACGCATAGATCTCTGCTATATAATACAGGGGACTTGAATAGCCACAGATTTGGCTATCTGCCAGGTGGAGGGAGATCCTGGAACCAATCTCCTATGGATACCAAGAATAGTTAAGTTTTCCGGGAGTCAAAAATTATACACAGATTTTCGAATGCAACAGACATCATTGCCCTTAACATTGTTTAAGGGTCCACTGCATATGCCAGGTACCTGCTAAGTACTTAATCTCGTTTAATTTGCAAAATTATCCCATAAGGAAGGGACTACTTTGTAGACGAGGAAAGAATTTAAGTAACTCGAGGCAGACAGTATATAAGTAACTTGTTCTGAGTCTCACAAATAAGGGAGTCAGAATGCCAGTCTAAGCAGTTAGACTTAACATCTTTTGTTTCCCACCTGCCGGATTGCAAAGTTAAACAAAACCACCTCCTATTCCTTTTTACCGAACATTCTACTTCTACCAATAAGGTGTTCTAGGGTTTTAGCAGCCCTGTCGCAAGCCCTCGTTGGTTTACCTTGAGCTTGTAATCAGTGAAAATGCCTATGTCTTTTTCATACGATCTGCGATAATAAGTTTCCATATGATAAGAAGCTTTCATAATTCCACAGTCACGTGACTGATTTTTTTGGGGACCTAAATTCTGTACCATGTCTTCCTTATTTAGTTTCCATTGGTTAGCTTCAGCGCATGATCCCAACCTGTTGAGTTGTTTTGAATCCTCACTCCGCTATCTCAGCTCTATATCACCAACAGACTTGATCAGTACACCTTCTGTCACTTCTCCTGGTTGCTGATAAAATTGCCAACCAGGATAAGAACAAGGATAATTTTGTCCCCGTTTTTGGAGAGGGACTTTTCCTGTTGGATCACAACCAGGCATAGTCTTGTGAGCCTACCTCGAAATCTTGATTCTGAAGCTATTAAGCAGA